CATATTTGATCCATAGATTAAGCAATTCAACTCAAATCAATTCAAAAAAATTGATTTCTCACATATAAGAGAATAAACTTGGCATATCATATACTTTTATTTCCAAGTATTATGAAGCAGTACACTTCACCTTTACCACTGACAGATACCTTTCTTTTCTTTACAGTCAATCCTTATACGTAACCGAGGTAGTAGCCTCCGACCCTAACAGTTTTTTTTTTTTTTNATCATATACTTTTATTTCCAAGTATTATGAAGCAGTACACTTCACCTTTACCACTAACAGATACCTTTCTTTTCTTTACAGTTAATCCTTATACGTAACCGAGGTAGTAGCCTCCGACCCTAACAGTTTTTTTTTTTTTTGGGAGGGGAACTTGAACCCTTGACCTCAAAAAAACAAAACTTTCACAAGTCAAGGAATATCATTGGACCAAAGGTCCATTAGTTCTAACAGTTAACACATGGATTAATGGGAATGAATATCAAATCAAAAATAGCTTAAATAATGAAAATCAATGCACAGGAATGTATTTCTTAACATTTCGTATTCACCACAATTGCATCGTTCCAGACCACTGTGCGTTACAGTACTCAAAACCTTAATTCGGATCTATGATTTCCAGTCCAAATTCATAATCATCCATCATAATTTTTAAAATATATTAATAATTCATAAGTAATGTAATACATGATTTAAAAATGAATTTGAAACACTTCGACTGATCCGGAATTAAAAAATTCTATCATGCGCTGCTTTTCGATCCGAAATAGTCAAAAATAAAATGATGTTATTTTTTAATCAAATTTCATACACATACTCAATTAACATATCTAAGAATGAATATAAAATTTATTTTTCCAAAATCATCCAAAATTTGGGTCAAATTGGCCCCCGGAGGTCAAAACAGTCATTTTAATCCTCATTTTGATCCGGCCGTCGGAACAACTTGAAATATTACCGGGACCTCCGCACGGACGTTACAGAACTTTTGACACCAACCAGAGGTCAATCAGAGTTCAAAGGAAACCAAAATTTCCATCGGAGTCCACTGCCCAGTTCATCTTCAACCTTGGTTTTATTTTGACTTTTTCCCTAAATGCAGAAATTTGTGCTCAATCACTCTACTTTGACCACCTGGTTCTCCCACTACAGTACACCAAATCCTTTGATTCTAACACCCATCTAATCCTTGGATAACCTAGTATCAATCCCTCTAAGACTCAACCTTTGAATTGAATTCTAACATCATCAAATTATTGGTCAAAGTTGGCCAAAAACCATTTTTTAAACACAAGAGCAGACCTGCAACTGCCCGTTTCACCCCCAAAATGACCTCCAAATCCAATTCCGAAGCCGGAAATGGATTCCTTGACTCCAAATTAGCTAAACCCAAGCCCCCTTTTAAAGCTTAAAGAAGTTTTGATCAAAATCACATTTTCACTTCTTCAAAATCCTTACACCACCATTACACAACCACACACCATAGCAAACCACCACACCACCACTAAACAACTCCTCAAGACCCCCAAAACTCAGCCATACCAAACAATTAACCCAAATCAAGCTTAAATCTCAAATCCGTTTCAAAATTCAAAAACCCACTAAACTTTAAAACACAAATCCATACATTAATACTAAACCAAATCAAAATCTAATTACATATATGAATTCCTAACATCCATATTAGGCTATGAGTATACCTCTTAGTGCTCGAAGTAGTCTTTGCAAGAAATTCAAAAATTCAAAGTCTATACTTTCTCTCAGTAACTTTTATCTCTCCTCTCTTGGCGGTTCTACCTTATCCAGAGACTTACTGAACTCTTAAGCAACTCCTCAATCACTTTGGAAGCTTGGAGAAGGCTGAGGAGAACTCATCTTGTGCTGCCAGGCAGCAGCTTGAGAAGAATGTCATGCAATGACATTTTCATAAATAACTCAATTTCGTTTTTTTTTAATTCTAATTTTTTTTATAATTATAAACCTATTAAAACATGCACTAAAAAAAATATTTTCCTATATATATATTTTTTTTGTGCACATGCATGCTCAAGTTTTACACCTCCCTAATCTTTTCATGTCATTGGTTAGAGACACCCTCTGTTGGATCATTGTTATAGCTCTCGTGATCTGCATATTGGTTTTCCCCATCATCCTCCTGTTTGGGATAGTTTGCAGCGTGTGGAGTAGGTACATGAAGAGGGGGAGCATGTGAGGCACCTGCACACCAAACGGGGGACTTCCTGGCGAGGGGTGCCCTAGCACTGGGTGCCACGGTGGAGGGCGCCTCGGTGCCCATAGTGGGGAGGTTGTGGCACATCTTCAATTGGAGGAAGTGTTGTTCCCACGGGGTGAGGGGCAACGCCTCCCAAGGCAAGCATCCAATGGAGAATTTGTTGGTTTTGGTTACCAACAACTACACGGTCTCCAAAAGTTGTTGCCCGACCACGAGATTTTTTGCACTGGACAATTTCGCTGGTGGAGGAAGGGGCGCAGCCTCCTCCCGGCGGACTGGGTTGTTGTCCTCTGGTTGTTGATTCATTGACCTGGTTGCGATTGCCATGGATTTGAAAGAGAATATCAAGGTAGTAGAAAACTCAGTCATTCCCACAAACGACGCCAATTTGATGATGCACAGAATAGGCTTATACACAATCAATAGTCAAGTATGTGATGCAGGAGAATTAATGAAACAATTAATAAGCAATTAATAACAGAAGGCAAAGATCGGGTGAACACACAGATATATAATGATTCGGTCAAGTGGACCTACTCCGCTTCCGAAGGCAGCAACTGTGACCGAAGAATTTGATTAATAAAGTAAGGAAAGAGAGAGAGAGAGCAAAGGAGTGCTCTAGGAGAGATTGGGCAACTATGCAGGAAATAGCTGGGTAAATGGTGTGTAGGGAGATGCCCCTCTCATGTGGAGAGAGCTAACAATTTATAGGCACATAGCCTTAATTGAGGCGGTGGCGTAAAGGAATAGGTGACTAACTTTTCAGGGAGGATAGCTACAACTAGGATACGTACAATTAGAAATAGTTTTGATCTCGAAGACTGACTATCTTGATGATTGCTCTCCACATGCGCTAATCTTCTTGTACTAAGTTGAATTCACAAATTGGCCTTGAATTGCCTTGTAGCTAATCTGGGTTTACTTAATTAATTGGGTTCGACCTAACAAAATCTAGACTCGTCAATATATAATGATCAATATATTCAGGTCAATTTTATACCTACATGTATAAAAATTCTAACAATGACATAATATATGGCATAGATATTTGCACTGAAATTGACAAACAACCTAGAACAATATTATTCTTTATTGTGTCCAATAAAAATTGGAATGTGGCCATGTGGTAAGGGAACGGGTTTTGGTTCCACAAAATCATCCTTCATTTAATTGCAAAACCTAATTGAGATCATCATCTATCTTATTGAGAAATTGATAATTTAAAATAGCAAAAATACTTTTGTCGGAGCAAAGCAGTTTACCTTTGCATCTAATAATAATTTTGAGCTATCAACTACTAACTTTTCGAAAAATGATAAAAGACTGTTATACAATTGTTTTAAAAAAAATAGGAGACAATGTATTAAGTCAAACATATGCATTGTCTTTGGTCAATATATATTGCAGGGGTCGATAAAATTCTAATCATCATCTGATAATTGGACATAAACACATGGCAGATTGCATATGCTGAAAAGAATTTTTTGGAATAACTTTTCTATGACTGAAAAAAAGATAAAATCCAACTGAGCAGATAGTTAGGTCATCCTGGCAGAGCTAAAATAGGTCTATCCGAGCAGAGAATAAGATCCGACCGAACAAATAGTTAAGTCATCTTGCTGAGCTAAAGTGGGTCCATTCGAGCAGAGGATAAAATCTAACTGAGCATATAACTAGGCTATCCCAAAAAATCAGAGACTGTGCCAAACAAACAATAAGAAAATTGTCTAAATCATAGTAACACATAATTAACATGTGACCTAAATCAATTAATGAGNCATCTAATAATAATTTTGAGCTATCAACTACTAACTTTTCGAAAAATGATAAAAGACTGTTATACAATTGTTTTAAAAAAAATAGGAGACAATGTATTAAGTCAAACATATGCATTGTCTTTGGTCAATATATATTGCAGGGGTCGATAAAATTCTAATCATCATCTGATAATTGGACATAAACACATGGCAGATTGCATATGCTGAAAAGAATTTTTTGGAATAACTTTTCTATGACTGAAAAAAAGATAAAATCCAACTGAGCAGATAGTTAGGTCATCCTGGCAGAGCTAAAATAGGTCTATCCGAGCAGAGAATAAGATCCGACCGAACAAATAGTTAAGTCATCTTGCTGAGCTAAAGTGGGTCCATTCGAGCAGAGGATAAAATCTAATTGAGCATATAACTAGGCTATCCCAAAAAATCAGAGACTGTGCCAAACAAACAATAAGAAAATTGTCTAAATCATAGTAACACATAATTAACATGCGACCTAAATCAATTAATGAAAAAGGAAATCTTTTAAAGTCCAAACACGAATTAAAGAAGGTCTAACAGGAATCTAGGTGTGCCACCATATTCCAACTAGGACTGCAGCCCTAAATAATTGGGGACATTCTCCCTATAAAGACTAGGTAAAATTGAAGTCTANGGAATCTAGGTGTGCCACCATATTCCAACTAGGACTGCAGCCCTAAATAATTGGGGACATTCTCCCTATAAAGACTAGGTAAAATTGAAGTCTAAGGTACACACTTTCTCTGGTGAATTGTATATGCATATACTCCCTCGTGTCACTACTGTCTTAGTGACTTAGGCGTCTGCGTGCCTCCGGCCGGTATCCCACCAATTTATGACAACTTGTTTGTTTTGCAAGTCGAAGACGATCTCGAGTTCTCGTCGCAAACAAATCTCTTTATTTTGATAAGTGCAAAATCCCCACCACCCCCCCAACATTTATGCTGGTCGAGACATTTCACATTTATTTTATTTAATTCAAAAATAATATATTTATTTCAAGGCCAGTCAACCACTAATTTATCCAAAAGAAAAAAGAAAACACGGGCACCAAACAAATTTAAAAGAAAAATGGGAGCCTTAACAGGTTACATAAAAATCAAGGGGCAACCCCCCCGCTGCGACACTCCTCACGTTGCTCCCCCATTGTTTGCTTTGATCCAACATCCAGTCTCTTCTTGTGGTGATGCCTGGAAACCAAGCACAAAAAAAATATATTTAAAAAAACAACAAATTTTCCATTTAAACCATGCAACTTCAAAAGCTGGAAATAACATGCTTCATAAGTTGATACATCCTTCNGTAAAAGAAAAATGGGAGCCTTAACAGGTTACATAAAAATCAAGGGGCAACCCCCCGCTGCGACACTCCTCACGTTGCTCCCCCATTGTTTGCTTTGATCCACCATCCAGTCTTTTCTTGTGGTGATGCCTGGAAACCAAGCACAAAAAAAATATTTAAAAAAACAACAAATTTTCCATTTAAACCATGCAACTTCAAAAGCTGGAAATAACATGCTTCATAAGTTGATACATCCTTCGCAAACGAAATGTTCAGAACTTTCATTGCCTGATCATGGCATAAAAAAGTAAGAACATCAAATTTGAACTACTCAGGGAGTGAAAGCAGACAGCTAAAGTTATAAGCATCATAACTACTGCCACAAGAATACACACATAGTCGGCATCTTTTTCACTTTGAAATTGTACAAAACCATAACCTTGATAAAGATTAGTGACTATCTTTGGGAACATACGGATTGACTGAGATAAACAAAATTCCGGTAGTCTCTAAATTGCCAAGATAGAGAGGACATATACAAAATTTCCAAAAAAAATATGCATATCTATATATTATAACAAATGTTTCAAGAGTGTACTCTATCATGTTATGACCCTAATTCTTAGTGGATTCTTTTACCAAAATANTCACAGTCGGCATCTTTTTCACTTTGAAATTGTACAAAACCATAACCTTGATAAAGATTAGTGACAATCTTTGGGAACATACGGATTGACTCAGATAAACAAAATTCCGGTAGTCTCTAAATTGCCAAGATAGAGAGGGCATATACAAAATTTCCAAAAAAAATATGCATATCTATATATTATAACAAATGTTTCGAGAGTGTACTCTATCATGTTATGACCCTAATTCTTAGTGGATTCTTTTACCAAAATATGCTGATAACGGAACCAATTCAATGTTCAAGCCTACCCACTCCAACACAGAGTACAAACCCAAAAGGAACCCCAACCTAAAAAAAGAAGGGAGACAAAAGTGTCCCAAATATAGAACTTTGAATTACAAATAAGATTCGTTAAACAATGCTTTCAAAAAATGAAGGGGGTTCAGTATCCTGCAAGCAGGGCCTGCTTGAACGAAGAACACCCCATTATAACTCTTCCGTTACGTGCAAGCAGGCAAAGAACAAGCATGAGATAAAAGAGGTTCAATCAATCAAAGATTCGACAAGAAAAATCTTAACCCCAGTAAACCGCTACATATGCAGCCGACTTCTGAAGAATNTAACACCCCATTATAACTCTTCCGTTATGTGCAAGCAGGCAAAGAACAAGCATGAGATAAAAGAGGTTCAATCAATCAAAGATTCAACAAGAAAAATCTTAACCCCAGTAAACCGCTACATATGCAGCCGACTTCTGAAGAATTAACATCCAAGTGCCATAGTTCTCACAAAGTTTGTAAAGGAATCTTCATTGAAGTTGCATAAAACGAAAAAATTGGGACAGATACAACTGAATCACAAGGACAATCTTACATATTCGCATGCTTCCATATGCGTCTGCATTTAAAAAGTATACTGTTCTTCACCTTCAAGATATCTTGTTGCCTCTAAANTTGAAGTTGCATAAAACGAAAAAATTGGGACAGATACAACTGAATCACAAGGACAATCTTACATATTCGCATGCTTCCATATGTGTCTGCATTTAAAAAGTATACTGTTCTTCACCTTCAAGATATCTTGTTGCCTCTAAATTTCAAACCATTATATCAACACAATAATGTGGGTGCACCTTATATAAGTTTTTCTTCCAACTCTCTCTTCATCCTTGTCTTACCTTATACAAGTATTTTCTCAATTCATTAACTATTATTACTACCACTCATGTTATTCGTGTAAGTACACCACTCTCATATGGAAAAGATAACTAGAGAGAATTAAACATCACTTAGTACAGGAATTTAGTTAATAGAATGTTGCTACACAAATAGTGTCAAGGGCCAAATTAGCAAGCCTTTTGTAAAAATAATAGGAACTCCGATACATTCTGGCTTTTACAAGGAGCAAGCATAAAATTACGTAGCACATATGCACTCGAGAAAGAAAACTGATGGACAGACCCACCGCCATGCAGAACATTTGAAATAAAAGCGGAAACAATTACCGGTCACTTAGAATGGGACCAAAATTGGGCAAAGGAAAAAGTGACAACACAGATGAAAAACTTGCCTAGCCATATGACCATCAGAGCATACTATAAAGTGAAATCAGAAAGTAAACATATACTTTGNGATGGACAGACCCACCGCCATGCAGAACATTTGAAATAAAAGCGGAAACAATTACCAGTCACTTAGAATGGGACCAAAATTGGGCAAAGGAAAAAGTGACAACACAGATGAAAAACTTGCCTAACCATATGACCATCAGAGCATACTATAAAGTGAAATCAGAAAGTAAACATATACTTTGGTGAGTAAACACAAAAGCAACACACTACAAAAGTAATTTAGGCATTCATAGAACAAAAATTGTTAAATTCTAGCCAGAGTGAATATTCTAACCACAATAAAACAAAGAGTGCATTGTACGGGGTAGCCTGGCCTTCTGATGTTGCAGAGATAGAACAACAGGCATGCCCTTACAGGGTTCATTAGATACGAAAACTGAAGGGGAAGAAGCTGTAGCGTTGTAAGNCACGGGGTAGCCTGGCCTTCTGATGTTGCAGAGATAGAACAACAGGCATGCCTTACAGGGTTCATTAGATACGAAAACTGAAGGGGAAGAAGCTGTAGCGTTGTAAGAACTTTTGATGAACTGACTCCAATTCAATTGCTCCAAATCCTTTGAAGTCATATACCCAGATCAGAACGAAACCTAGAAACAGAAAATGGCGAACGAATCATCTAATTATTTGACCTTCTAAAGCAAAATTTGCAGTTTAAATGCTTCAAACTGATTGTAAAATTAGGTGTCCAAAAGAATTTACAACCACATTCCTTCATCAACAGTAAACTCCAATGTCTTGCAGGATAGGCTGGATAGTTACTTCAATCTTCATACTTACTAGTTACTGCAGTCTAAAATTTGGTCAAACTATCATTCCGCAAAACCTATCAATCATGAATAATCAAGTCATTGAGATCTGGCATGTTTGCAGTGTCAAAAATGAGGATTAGATTACGGAATAAGAAATAGTTTCATATAAGCCTATAAAATAAGAGTATAAAACATTAGGTTTAATGTGGATAAGACCGCTATTCATTATGATCCCCTGGTTTTTTCCAAACAAACAAACAAATAAGCTAGCTACGAGGAGCCAGAAAATTAGGGATAAATCACCCTACCAAGATCAGCTGTAATGTGTGGATGCACGTATAACTCTGCTCAGTTGCTCCGCATGCAGCAGGACCAAAAAAATAAAGCATGATGATGGTAAGTCACCTACGTAGAGTACACACATTCTTGTGGCCCATTAAGCATAGCCACAGCTGCAGNCAACTCTGCTCAGTTGCTCCGCATGCAGCAGGATCAAAAAAATAAAGCATGATGATGGTAATTCACCTACGTAGAGTACACACATTCTTGTGGCCCATTAAGCATAGCCACAGCTGCAGACAACAGCAATGTGCACATCTCTTCATAATGAGCAAGACTAATAGCTTCTAACCACCCCTTAAAATATTTTTCCTAATCAGATTACGAAAATTAGACACAGTGCATTTATAATGAAGACAGCCTGTTTGCATAACACATTAATCAAAACCTCAATTCAACTAGTTGGGTTCGTNAGACAACAGCAATGTGCACATCTCTTCATAATGAGCAAGACTAATAGCTTCTAACCACCCCTTAAAATATTTTTCCTAATCAGATTACGAAAATTAGACACAGTGCATTTATAATGAAGACAGCCTGTTTGCATAACACATTAATCAAAACCTCAATTCAACTAGTTGGGTTCGTTATCCTAATCAAATCCCACAGATATCAAGTCTAAAAGGCATAATACAAAGACAGCTTTGAANACAGCTTAAGAAAATTAGACACAGTGCATTTATAATGAAGACAGCCTGTTTGCATAACACATTAATCAAAACCTCAATTCAACTAGTTGGGTTCGTTATCCTAATCAAATCCCACAGATATCAAGTCTAAAAGGCATAATACAAAGACAGCTTTGAAGGCAATCATTCAAATTGTACGAGAACAATGACGTAACTTGTTGAGCAGCTTATCACATTAACAGGCTCATAAGCATGACAGAACTTGCCCATAAGTGACTTAGATAGAACAGAAGATGAACCAGAACAACAAAATTGTAATAGATGCTGGACACATGATAAGGGCGAGAAAACAAATCAAATACTAGCACTAAGATTAAAACATGGTGCTAGTTCTGTCTTTTAAGATTAAATCACAGCTTTTACACCTCTTTCGGAACATCCAAAGAACATCACTAAGAGCTCCACTTCTGGCTTTCACAGTTGAGCTCTAAGAACTAACATCCCTGCTGAATGCTATATGCAGATGAGGACCCAAAATCAATTTTAGGGAGTGCCTCAAGAGTTGCTGATGCCCAAATGCCTTTCACTCCAGCTACCAAAATTTCAACCAATAATCATGTCCTGGCTTCTTGTGACTCACGAGAATTGGCCTCAGAATCAGTAATAGCCAAACCAAGATCCTGTNCGTGCCTCAAGAGTTGCTGATGCCCAGATGCCTTTCACTCCAGCTACCAAAATTTCAACCAATAATCATGTCCTGGCATCTTGTGACTCACGAGAATTGGCCTCAGAATCAGTAATAGCCAAACCAAGATCCTGTTCAAGCTTTTCCCAAGCCTTCAAAACATTAGGAGGGAACTTCTTCTTCACTGTTCGAATCAACCCTTTTGCCTCCTTCATTTTCGACTTCTTCACCAACCCTTCCACCAAATACTTCAGAGTATTAAAATCCGGAATCTTATGCACTTTGACACTCTCCTTAAACACCTTATACCTCCTCTCAAACTGCACATTCCTACACAAATCATACATAAAAGTTCTAAAAGTCGCTGCATTTGGATGACACCCATGTTTTTCCAATNCCCTCTCAAACTGCTCATTCCTACACAAATAATACATAAAAGTCCTAAAAGTCGCTGCATTTGGATGACACCCATGTTTTTCCAATCCCTCGTAAACCTTCTTTGCCTCATCCAATCTTCCAGTCCTAAAATAACAAGTCATCAAATAATTATAAGTGATGGCATCTGGTTTCAACCCTGTATTGCTCATTTCCTCAANTCCTCTCAAACTGCACATTCCTACACAAATCATACATAAAAGTTCTAAAAGTCGCTGCATTTGGATGACACCCATGTTTTTCCAATCCCTCGTAAACCTTCTTTGCCTCATCCAATCTTCCAGTCCTAAAATAACAAGTCATCAAATAATTATAAGTGATGGCATCTGGTTTCAACCCTGTATTGCTCATTTCCTCAATCAACCCCTTCACAGTCTCTGGATCACCACCGTGTGAATTCATTATCCGAACATTATACGCCCCAACATCCAGTGGACACCCTTTTTGAACCATCTCATTCCAAATNCTGATGGCATCTGGTTTCAACCCTGTATTGCTCATTTCCTCAATCAACCCCTTCACAGTCTCTGGATCACCACCGGGTGAATTCATTATCCGAACATTATACGCCCCAACATCCAGTGGACACCCTTTTTGAACCATCTCATTCCAAATTCTCTCAGCGTCCTCCGTCCTCCCTATCTTATACAATGCATCCATCACCGTAGTGTAAGAAATATACGTTATTTCAATCTCTTTTTCCCCCATGGTTTTCAATGTTTCCATAGCCAAATCAAGCGAACCCGAATCACAGTACGACTTAACTAAAATCCCGTACGATATTTTATCCGGTAAAAACCCGTACTTTTGGGGAATTTCGTCGAACAGTGTGGGTACTTGATCGGAGAGCTTTGATTGATTACCAGCTGATAAAAGGGCATTGAAGGAAATTGCTGATCTGGGTGTACCCAGATCGTCCATTTCATTATAGATTTTGAGGGCGTGATCAAACATGCCAACGCGGCCATATGATCGAATGAGGGTGGAAAGGAAGGGTTCTTCGGTGATTTTGGGATCATTTTTGTGGGATTCAATGAGTGTTTCGATCTCGGTGAAGCGGTGGGCCTTTGCAAGGCGTTTAACGGTGAGGTCTTGGACGTAGCGAGAAGAGATTGGGGAAGAATAGTGATTGGAGACGGAGGAGTAGATTTCTAGGGCTTTGTCAGGGTCGTACTCGAATTTGAGCTTAGCTTTGGCTTTGGAGATGGTAATGCTGGCTGTTGTGGTGGCTGCAGCAGCGGCGGCTGTTGATAGGCGGCGGGCGTGGCGGAGGGCTACAGAGGAAGACATTTCTAGGGTTTTCGGAGGTTTATGGTTTTGGCGAGGAAATGAGAGCAGTGTCGGTAACCCCAAATTTAAAGAGTTAATCTCATTTTAATTTATACCTTTAAAGATCAAAAATTTTAATTTATACCCTCAAAGATAAAAATTTATATCAATGTGCACTCCCAAAGATCAAAAATCTCAATTTACACCCTCAAAGATAAAAATTTATATCAATGTGTACCCCAAAGATAAAAAATCTCAATTTGAACCCTCAAAAATAAAAATTTGTATCAATGTGAACCTAAAATTAAATTAATAAATTATACCTAAATCCCCTCATATTTGTCAGTTAATCATTTAGACCTCTTCACATTTAGAATATTACTCCTACATCTTATGACATTTGTGCACGTATAACACGTAACCCATTTTCATTGATATCTATTAATATAACCGTTAAAAAATATAATTTTATCCTAATAAAAAATTATAATTTCATATTACCCTTTATTTTATAGGTTCAATATACTATAAAGTTCAAAATCTAGTTTACCATTTAAATGTCTAATAAAATATAAATATTTATATAATATTTTTCATATTACCTTTTATATAAATATCTACATTTTATTAGACATTCAAATGGTAAGCTTGATTTTCAACTTTAGAGTATATCGAATCCACAAAATAAAAGGTAATATAAAATTATAATTTTATATTAGGATAAAATCATATTTTTTAACGATTATATTAATATATATCAACGAAAAGTGGTTATATGTTACACATGCATAAACGTCATGAGATGTAAGGGATATATTCTAAATGTGAAGGAGTTCAAATGATTAAGTGACAAACATGAGGGGATCAAGGTATAATTTATTAATTTAATTTTGGGTGCACATTGATACAAATTTCTATCTTTGAAGGTGCAAATTGAGATTTTTTATCTTTGGGGATGCACATTGATACAAATTTCTATCTTTGAGGGTGCAAATTGAGATTTTTGATCTTTAGGGGTGCACATTGATACAAATTTCTATCTTTGAGGGTGTAAATTGAGATTTTTGATCTTTGAGGGTGTAAATTGAGATTCAAACAATCTTTCGGGGTGCAAAATAAGATTAACCCAAATTTAAATGAAGGGAAATGATCGTTGGATTTGATGATTAAAAGATGATGTAATTTCATCATTAAATATTTAAGTTTAAAAACAGATCTCCTTTGTTCTAGGTTTTTAAAAAAAAAAAAAATTATTTGATATATGAGTCTAACATTGAAAAAATATTTTAAATTTTTTTTATTAAAATTTAAATTTTAAATTTGAGTAAATTTGGGTACAAATTTAAATTTGTCACTCATCACACTTTGATCGTAAAAATTTTGATTTCGTCAATTTTATTCCAAAAATTCAATTATTCATTTAATTTGGTTCTTGACACTAAATGTCGTCACAAAAATAGATGGAAAACACCATGTGCTTGTTACCTACAAATTTTTTAAGGTATTTCTGGTATTTTATTACAATCTATGCTTCCAAACAATATTATTCTCGGGGTGAATTATACTCTACACCTTGAAATATTTTAAATTTTTCATTTTATACTCTCAAAAATTAAATTTTTTACATTGCATCTTTAATATATTAAAAGTATTACAGCGTGATTCTTCTATTAGCTTTTCATTAGTTTTTCCATCAATGTTAATGGGTTAGCTTTTGAAAAAAAAATAATTAAAGTTAATAAAAGGACCACATTACAATATTTTTAATACATTTAGAGTGCAATGTAAACATTTATGGAAGACATTAACTATCTATACAACATCCATCTATAAGAGCATCTAAAATAATCATTAAATAATAGAAACCATTCAATATTCAACAACTAACTAGATAAATTTTCAAAAAAAATATAAATGATTTTTTAGGTTTATATTCAAACAAAAATAATAGTCTTCAAACTAACTAAATAGAAAATATTCATAACATTGTCACATAACTAAATTTCAAAAAAAAACTAAACTAGACAAAAACAACTTTAAACTTCTAAATCTGGATCCACGTCTTGAATTAACTCAGCCTCAAAATCAACTTGTTTGTCTAGTATGATATACTCTTCAAGTCCATAATTTGAAAAATGTTATATCGTGAGATAAGCACAAAGCCCACTAGAAAAACCTTCTCAAACTCAAACAATGTTTCAAAAACATAAAACAGGTAAGTTGCAGTTTGTAAAATAAATTCATAAACTTTGAAGTAAAACAATGACATTTGAATACGATCTCAAGTTTACTATTCAAAATAGTAATTTCATCACAAAGTATAATAATTTGCCAATACTATAACTCAAAACATAATATCTCGTTGTACGTAGGTAAACTACTATGAATCTATACACTGAACTATCTCGTATACCCACCACAAACGCAATTCATCTCAATCAATCTCCGCAAGGTCACAACAGTAATAAACTCTTTAGAAATGGTGTTTATCGACTCATTCAACATTGACGAATGCTTCCCTATTATAGTATATTAGTAATCAGCCTCGAACCTTTGTGAACAATAGCAATTGGCTCTCACATGAAATCAAACCCCCTACAAGTGTTAGTTAACCATCAAACCCCTCGAGGTAAAAAAAAACCTCTAACACTCTATGGTACGCATTCGAGTATAATCCTCGTTCATTAACCCACCCATCCAAAAGATAATACAACACTTTTTNCTCTATGGTACGCATTCGAGTATAATCCTCGTTCATTAACCCACCCATCCAAAAGATAATACAACACTTTTTTCCACAAAACCACAAGGTAAACACATAAGAATATAACAATCGCGACACAACCATAGTGAAATAATCACTATGTATAGCAATCTTCTATTGTGATAAACATGATATCCACAATGACACAATGATAGCCACAGTACACAGACACTGTGTATAATAACCTCTATAACGGTATACGTGATATCCATATTGACAACCACAATGACACAATCACTGTATATAACGACCTTTTACTACGATAGCAATCATTTTATGCATGTATATATGCACATATACATATACATGCATATAGTAAAAGGTTGATACGCTTTCATCTGAGCTAAAACCTAAAGGTGTTAACAAGGGTGCATACTTATTCTCTTATAGACCTTTCACCAGGGACTATAGTGTATGTCAACCACTCCATTTCCCCAGCTAGGCAAAAAGGTTGGCCCTGTGATGAGTGTGGAACATTGCATACTAAGCATTCTCATTGCATCCAATTCAACTTGCTTTGTAGTGAATTTTTGGGGAAATGCATTCAAATTGATAATTAATGGANGCATACTAAGCATTCTCATTGCATCCAATTCAACTTGCTTTGTAGTGAATTTTTGGGGAAATGCATTCAAATTGATAATTAATGGAAATTTTTTTGACTGCAAGTAATAGTCTAAAAAGGGCAAGCATAAAGCACTCCATCAAGTGATCAAGGTTAATAGGGAACGAAGGATCTCATGACAGATGGCTTGAGAGCTCAAGAAACCAAGAGTTTCAAGACAAGGAGAAGACCTACTGCTAGGAGCCTTACGACATTGTTAAACGACCAAAAAACAATTTCAAAGATCAATGACGAGTTCATGCTCGACGTGTGGTTTCTTTGAATTATTGATCATTAACTTGACCCTTCAAGCTCAAGTGCCAAATTTCACATTTGAATTTGACCCATTAAAATTCATCCTTATGAATTTTGAAAATTGTATGTTGTACAAAAAAAAAAAGATGGAGAACCAAGACTTAAGGACGGTTTTCCTACAAGAAAAGGCAAAGTGGGTGGTGGCCAAAAATAAAGGATTTGATGATGAGTATTTGACGGTTGGGCAATCCCCAAACTCCCCACTACACCAATTGCCTACAAGAAAGGGAAAATGGACTTGGTGGGGTTCTTAAAATATTGCCAGCTGCCCCCTTCACGTGCAAAAGTTTCGTATAATTATAATTGAAGAAGAGATCTGGAGGAGGGGAGTTTTAGACGGTTTATCAAGGGAAGAAAAAAAAACAGTGAGCAAAGGAGGAAGAAGATTTTTTGGTACAGAAAAGAGAAAGAAGGAAGGCAGCAAAAAAAAATTCTAAAGCTTGTGTTCAGGTAAAAAAAATTCTATTTACTCTTTCCTGAGGATTTAATCTTCTGAATTTTTTTATGGCAACAAATGGACTCAAAGCCACTTTAACTCGAAACAATTGTGCCGACTCCAAATTATTCAAATTACAAATCGGAGGAGTTTTCAACTCCTAGAGTTCAGGCGCCGAAAAGGTTGTTCTATACTCTTCTCGGCAAAAACTTCATGCTCTCTTTGGATCAAGAAAAATTTCTTGGAAGCTTTTCGATTTCTTTTAGCCAAGTCCACATGTGTGAACAGACCCACACATACAAAAGAAATGAAGCCAGGTTACACAAATTCAGTTTTTGTCCAGTTCATTTGTGGCAATGTTTCAACTCCTCTTGCAAAAGATTTTATGTTGAATCATGGAATATAGAACAGGGGCAGAAAAAAAAAATAACTCGCCTTCTTCGCAGTTCATTTTCTTATGTAACAAAACAGAGGAGTTTCTTTTAACTCTTCTCATAATCAGCCTCAACAGGCATAAATTTCATGAGCCAATCTGTCCATTCTGAAGTCGGTCGCATAAATTTAAAGAGCCCCTGGCTCTTTAAAGATTGTGTTGAGTTGAAGGAGTTTCCAACACCTTCTTGCTCGGAGGTGAAGAAAATTGAGCCTATGGCTCTATGCCAAAACACAACGATTCCAAACCCACTATCCACAATCCCAAACTCTCCCAAATAACAAGCCAAGGAGTTTCCAACTCCTAAAGCTCCAAGCGGAGCAAAAATCTAAGAGTTTTAAACTCATCTTGCAACCTATAAGATCCTCAAGCGGTCACAAGTTAAGAGTCTTTTACTCTAATGGAGTTTTGAACTCTTCCCCATTCCATTTGCTTTGTCACTAATCTCTTCTATTGCAACAAGCATTGA